GGTGTCCGGCCCCCGGGCGCCGGGGCTGCCGCAGCCAGCTGTCCGCCAAGGCCATCGTGCCGGGGCTGTGAAGGGGCAGTTGCTGCCGCTGCTCCCACTCGCAGTTGGGAAGGGGGTCCCCAGCGTTACTGCAGCAGCTGCCGGCCCTAGGGAGGCATTGGGTGCCCACTGGGTCCCTGCTGCTCCTCGCCTGGGCAGGCAGTGTCTAACGCTGTGCACCCGGGGCCTGCAGGGGTGTTATCAAGGAGGGGCACTGCAAAGGGAGGGACGGCCAAGAGGAGAAATGTTTGCTTGTGCTGTATGCTGGCGAGGGAGGAGTGAGCAAGGGGGGAAGGCCATGGGGCCGGCACATTTCCTGCCGGGCTCCCGGGCTCGCAGCAGATGGTTTCACTGCTGGTGTTCTTGCACGGAAGTTCTCTGCAAGCCGGATGTGCAATAACCCTGCAAAGCCCCGCCATGGGGGACTGAGGGGACGCTGGGCCTTGCCCACACGCTCCTCAAAGGAGCTCTGAGCAGCACATCACCCTCCCGGGGCTGCCAGTGCCCTCCAAGAGTTGTTCCGACACACGCGCAAGCAGGGAGCCAGTCTCGGCCTTGGTCCCTAGTTCTGGCAGTGGCTTCAGGGCGTGTGGTGGCCGCCACCTCAGAGCTCGGTGCGAAAGCGCAGGTCGGTCCCTGCCATCTTCCGGGCATAATCCTCGTCGAAGCGCTCGCTCTGCGCCACCGTGAAGTGGTTCTTCCAGTCACCGGCGATGCCTGGGGCCGGGCGAGGCAAGAGTGAGCAGCGGTAGCGGCCAGCGGGACTGTAGGAGGGGGCCGGGGGCCGCTCACCTTTGCGCATGAAGGGAGAGACATGGTGGTCCATGAGGTCAGCAGGCACCGAGGTGTAGTTGGTGGTGGGGTTGTCCCGCATGCTCTCGAAGGAGGTGTGATGGGCAATGGCATCCAGCACCGCCGGCGACAGCTCCCGCTGCAGGAACTGCACGACCTTCCCAATCTCCCGCTGTGGGTCCTGTCCAGAACGAGGCAGACGCTCAGCTCCAGCCCCTGTACTGCTGCCTCTGCTCCTGCTCCCAGGACCTTACCTCCTTCATGTCCTCGTAGAAGAGGAAGAGGATGGGGTGCTCCTTCCTCCGCGCCCAGTAGCCCTTCACATGGTCATACCAGGAGCCATAAGCCACTGCATGGTTGGGTAGGATCAGGAGTGTCACAGAAGAGCACAACAGCACCTTTGCAGCTAGGGAGCACCCCAGACCCACCTTTGCCTGCCATGAACTTCTCTAGGTACTCGGCCCAAGTGCCAGGGTGTGGGTGCAGCTTGTTCATCAGGTCAAAGTGGTAGTAGGAGACAGCCACATCCTTGGCGTTGCGAGCCAAATAGATCACCTGCGCAAGAGTACTTGCAACTTGGCCCATGCAAAATCCCCACAGAGTAGGTCGCTCTCCACACTCTGCTTTGCTCCCCATGCTGGTGGCCAGTTACCTTGCAGTGGTTTTCCCAGAAAGACTTGGGCAGGATGTGAGCTGGGATGTGAGTCTTGATGATGCGCGGGGACGCCATCTTGGGCAGCAGCTCCGTGCCTGAAAAGGAGGTTTCCCCAACGCGCTCCTGCTGCAAGCCACCCCCATGCGCCCCGCACCGGCCTCATGCCACCCTTGGCCCTGCTACCTGCTGACATCCCAGGGGCGACGAGCTCTAGCATGGGCACCCGGTTGTGGATGAAGTCCTTGCACTTCTCGGTGTCGCCGCCTTTCAGGATCATGTCCACGACCTCACACATCCAAGTAGTGCCTGGGAGGAAAGGCCAGAGCTCTGGCCAGCTCAGTTCATGCGTAAGATCCTCCTCCCGGCTCCCAGCGCTTTTTTGGTGTGTCCATCCCTCCACCCTTCCATTTCCCCCTCATGCCTATCCCAATGGAGCAGCTCCAGTTCCTTGCCCCACCCGGAAGGGTCCCTCTCTGGTGCCCCAGCGTGAGGGAGCTCACCGGATTTGGGGAAGGTGGCCACCACGATGTCCTCGGGGTGGCTCTGGAAGGCGTCCACTTGATCCCAGCCGGGCACGAAGGTGCTGACCATGGGGATGCCGTGTACCATGCGGAAGGGCTGCCGCATCCAGCTGTTCGTCGAGGCCATCGCGCTGGGGCTGCGAAGGGGCACTGCGGGGACTAGTCCTTTCCTTGCAGAGCTGGAGCAGCAGCGGGAAGCAGCTGGGAGCCCTTGGACTTTGGCCAAAGCACCTGCCTCTTTTCCCCCAACTCCTCTATATTGCTTTCCCATTGCCTCTATTGCAGCTTCTTCACAACCAGGGAGCGGGCAAAAGGGCAGCCCATAGTAACGCCTTAAATGCACTGCAGGTGGCTTAGAAAAACAGAGCAACTCTGCTGGCACCGTGGCTGCAGGTTAGCACAGAAAGCCGGGCGTTCCCGGGGCACGTTTGTATTTCTGGCAATGATTGTTGGCCCAGCACTCTCGGAAGATGGAGTTTGCAACTACTGCCTTGCAAAGGAAGCGCTGCGGAGTAGCAGCAGCATAGGCTGGGGAGGTGTCCAGCGCAGCCGGATTTAAATGCTGCACAGCATGGAAAAGGGGCGAGTGGGCATCCCAGACGCGGGGTCAGACCCGCCTGAGGCAGTGGCTCTGGTTTTGGCTCCAGGGGCTGGAAAGGAGCAGTTGGCCGCCTTGCCCGGGGCCGGTGACCGCACTCGAGGTTTGCAAGAAGTCAATCAGTAACCAGCTCATGTCGCCCCCGCAGATGGGGCCACCCCGTTACCTGTCTCTGGCGCCCGCTGGACTCACTGCTGTGGGGCAGGAGGGAAAAGGTCGGCCCCGAGGAGGGACAAGCTTGCCCTGGAGTGGCAGGAAAGAGGATTTATTCCCACCCCCTCCCTCAACACCCCGGCTCTGTGTAGAAAATGGAGGCACGGGGAGGCGCCTCAGGACGCCGGAGGCCCAGGGACGTCCTCCTGGAAGGGAGCTGGAGCAACCCGGAGCCGGCGGGTACAGAGGGAGGGGCGCGGGTGGAAAGAAGAACCGGTGGCTCCCGGCCCCTTGCCTGCAACGAGCTGTGCAGCACTCATCACCCCCCGCCACCGCGCCAAAACCAGGCGCGAGCCACTGGCCAGAGGCAGGGGCTCTGCACGGAGGCTGCGCGCGGGACAGGGCTGGGATGGGGGGCCAAACCACCCACCCACCCCCGGCGCAAAGGGCCAAAGTTCAGGCACTGCAGGGCTGCAAAATGATATTGTCCCTCTGGAGAAAGGGTCTGAAGGTGGCAGTGATTAAATGAGCCTCCTCATCTCCCTTCTCGAGGAAAATCAGCGAAAGCATAAACAGGTAGCAGGAAAAGTAGAGGCTGGGCATGGAGAACAGCTCACCCCTTCCTTGCCTGCCCCAAATTGCTCCTCTTTTGAAGGGTCTCTGCTAGTTGGGGTAAGGAGAAATCAGATGGGTGCCTGGTTTTTTTCACGGATTTTCTCCAGCTCATTCCTCGGTATCGAGGAGCAGGCAGATGTCACAGCCTGTCCCCAGCTCCTGGTGTGGCTTTTTTTCTTAGACTTACATCAGGCTGAAGGGAAATGCAAGCATTTGGGTCCCTCTGCTTCACTTTTAGCACCCACTTGCACAACAGCACTTGGAAAAAAAAACACGTAATTGTGGCGTGCAAGCAGCTTGCGTGCAACAGCGGTGGGAACGGGGCTTGTGGAGGCAGCTTGCTGAGACACATGTTCCTAGAGGCGCTCAGGATTGGCATCCCACGGAAGACGGATTAGGCAGTGACTACATGTGCAAACCTTGGGCTGGGCTTTTTGGGAACAGCCCATGCAAGGGGCCAGGGCTCGGCTTTGCAGGCCTGGGGCAGGATGCTTGCCAGCTCTCACCCAGGCAAGAAGTAGCAATGAAACTTTCTCCCTCTGCCTGGAGACCTAGGACCCACTTTGTACAAGGTGTAAAAGCACTGGTGGTATGGGAGGTGCAGGGTTCAAGCAAGTTCACTGGTACCTCGTGGATGCTTCGGGGTTTTTCCACTGACTGCGGTAGCTCTGCTGCCTCTGGCACCGCCCTTGGCTTTGCAGGTGAGGTGGCAGTGCCCGAGAGCAACTTTTGCCGTAGGAAAATTTTGTTCTGTTTCCGAACAACCCACGGGGGCTCTAGCAATTTCTCGTGCTTGAGGTCAGGCCCGGCATCCACGTCATCAGTGTGACCGAAGGACAGGGCCTTTGGCCATTAAACGTGCAGTTTTATGCTGCTCTTTATTTGCTCTTTGCCTCTGCTTCAAGGGTAATCAAAAAGGAAGGGGCTGGGTGCCCAGAGCAGGACAGCCCTGCTGCTCGCAAGGACAACCACACCTTTCGCCCAGACGTAGGCGAGAACAGGGTTTTATCAGCAGGTGGGGGAGCTGCCAATGCCAGTGCCGCTCGTTGCTTCGGCCTTTAGCTGCAGATGAAAGCTCACCCTCCCTGTCACCATCACGCTTTATTGCCAGAAGGGAAAACAAATCACCGCTGATTCTCAGCATTGCACAAAACCCCATGACATGGCAAGGCCAGGACCCAGATTTCACCAGCAGGGACAGCCCTCATAGAAACTCACGATAGGTTCTCAGTGTGGTGAGGGGCATAAAACCCAGTCTCCACCTCTGAAAACTGGAGCAGAAACACCCAGCACCACAGCAGGGGGAAAACCCACCTCTTCTGTCCGTGGAGAGGCGCCCACGAGGTGTGGCAGCGGCAGCTCACGGCTGCCCAGGCCATGTCCAACGGTGCCGCCAGTGGTTTCCTTGTCCTCTCATATCTCCATGCGGAAGCAGAGGTCAGAATCCTTCATCTGCTCTTTGTAGTGCTTGTTGAAGCGCTTGTTCTGGGCCACCGTGAAGTGGTTTTTCCAGTCCCCGGTGATCCCTGATAGAGACCGAGAAAATCAAGCAGCTGTTACCACAGGGCAACCTGCGGCGGCAACTGAGCGCTGTGGGAAGGTTGGCTCGCAGCGCGGGCGCCTACCTTCCCGCACGAAGGGCGACAGGCTGTGGTCCATCAGCCGGTCCAGCAGGGTCTCGTAGTTAGCGGCGGGGTTTTTCTTCATCTCCTGGAAGGAGGTGTGGTGGATGATCTTCTCCACCATGCTCTCAGCCACCTCCTTGCCCAGGAACCGGGCGATCTGCACTTCGCAACGGGGGTCCTGTGGAGGGGGGTGGCCAGGGAGGCATGTAAGCTCCCAGGGGTCATCGTGCCCCCAGCCTTTCTCCCCAGCCCTGCCACCCTCCTCGTCCTCACCTGCTTCATGTCCTCGTAGAAGAGATAGAGGAGCCTCTTCTCCTTCCTCTTCTCCCACCAGTCTTTTACGTGCCTGTACCAGGACCCGTAGGCCACTGTGGGCCACCAACATGGGAGGGAAGGCATATTTAGGGGTTAGCTGGGCTGGTGGATGCCAATCTGTGACCACCTTGTGGGCATAGGGGGTTCCTGGGGACAGGATTTGTCCCTGTTTGGCTCCCACCTTTCCCAGCCATGAAGTTCTGCAGAAACTCCTCCATTGTGCAAGGGTTGAGGTACATCTTTGTCTGGTAAAAGTAGTAGGAGGAGACAGCCACATCCTTGGGGTTGCGGGCAACATAGATCACCTGGGGGCAAGCAACATGCATCAGGGAGGGGGTCACAGCCCAACGTCTCCCCATGAGGTGCCCTGGTCTGCGGCAGCACCCACCTTGCAGTCCTGCTCCCAGAAGGAGTTGGGGAGCAGCTGGACGGGGAGGTGGGTCTTCACCAGGCGTGGTGAGGGTATCTTGGCCAGCAGCTCGATGCCTAGCAGGCAAGGGGGTTAATGGAGCGAACACTGCGTGGACTGCCCCAACTTGACCTCATCCCCGGACATGGAGATCGCCTTAGGACCCACCATTTGGCATACCAGGCATGTTCATCTCCAGGAAAGGCACCCGGTTGAAGATGGCATCCCGCTTGCATTTCTCCACGTTGCCATCATGTCCAAGATCTCGCTGAGCCACGTAGCACCTGCAGCGTGACAGGAGGGATTCACAGCCGCCAGCCCCCTGTGCCTGTCACCCTCCCACCCAGTTCCCATGCCCACCGCAGCCACTCACCCGATTTGGGGTAGGTGCAGATGAGCAGGTCATCAGGCCGGGCTTGGAAAGCCTCCACTTGTGGCCAGACCTTGATGAATGACTTGTAGATGGGCATCCCATGAAGGATGCCCAGCTCTTCCCGGACAATATTTTCCCTGCCCATCCCGGCTTTCAGAGCACTGTGACCACGCTCGCTCGGAGAAGAGCTGGGACGAGGTGAGGAGGCCTGGGGAGCCGTTCCCGGGGAAAACACGCCTTCCGGCAAAGCCCGCCCCGAGACACCTTGTGTCCCTCCTGCACCCGCTGGGAAGGGAGTGCAGAGCCCAGCACCTCCCTGCTGGGGAAATCACACCAGCCCCGGCTGCCAGTGCCAGGCCAACCCCACCAGGGCACCTACGGTCGTTGGATTGATGGCACCCGCTCTGTCAGGAGCCTCCGCCCACCCGCTCGTTTTCGGTAATGTTTAATGAACCCGTGTCTACCTCTAGGTCTTAAATTGTCTTCATAAACTCGTGAGCCGGTTGCCACGGTCAATGGCCACCCGTCCCACCCGGTGGCTACCACTATTTATATAACCAGGCTGGGGTTTGAGTGCTTGCAACACCACGGAGAGCGCGGTGTTTACAGCTTCCCAAAAGGCAGGGAGTTTCCCAGATCCCTGGAAAACCTAGATCCTGGAATCTAGGAACCTAGATTCTTGGAATCCAGAATCTGGGATTCCTAGAAAGCAGCTGGAGACAGAGGGCATCTGGGGCACACACACGGCTGGGAAGCACCAGGGCACTTGCTGATCTTATGCTCTTGCCACAGAAATGGAGCCAGCAGAGCAGGCAGGAGCAAAGCTGGCCCCACAACAGAAATAAATGGGCTTTTTTTCGGTAGAGCCACCTGGAGCTCCTGCTTAGCACCTCAGCCCAACCCCAAGTGGACAACGAACAAGTAACGGGGAGCAGGTAGCAGGATTGAGCTGTCCCTGGCAGGGAGGCAGCTCTTTGTGCTGTTTCCCACGACAGCTGACAAGGGTGAGCAACGCTCCAAAAATCCAAGAGGCAAACAGTGATAGGGGCTGTTTATCCTTTTTATTATAAATTTAGTATGAATGACCAATGGAAAAGTCACAATGGAGTACCAAGAATGTTTATCAAAATTTTAGCAGCATTTAAACGGTAATAGATTCCCACCCTCATCCGACCACCCCTCTGCCCTTGCCTCCCGCCCAAGAAACAGTCGCCTTAGCCCCAACGCACTTTCCAAAGCTGCGCAGGGGACGTAGCTGGCCACTTCCCACGCAGGCCGCCCAAGCCGCTGGGAAGATTTCACCCTACATGCTGGTTACCATGAGATCCCCACTCACATGGGGCCCGGGTCTCGTCCCCTGCTCGTGCTGGCGTACAGCAGCGCGCGAGGCCGCCTGCTTGAGGGGTAAGATGAGAACCTGTGAGGCGGCACGGCCCCCCTTTTCCTTTTGCATCCCCGCTGTAACTCCAGTCAGTTTATTGAGCGTGCGGCTGCCCTTCCACACCGACGCTGTCGCTCACACAAAACCAGCGCCCGCTCTCCGGTTTTCCTCTCATCCCTCGGCGTTCGCGCGCGGCTGTGACGCAGACCCTACAATCCCACTCGTTTACCTGAGATTGTGTGGCTGTGATGTGCGGCATTTAAACAAAAAGAGGAGGCTGACGGTCTGCTCTGACACTGAAATGGATCTGAGGACAACTGGAAGCAAAGCCTTGTAAGGGGAAGGCAGCAGGTGAGCAGTGATATGCTTCAAACCACAAAATGAAGCCCGTATACTCTAGTCAAATGTGGACAGGGGTGTTAGGCCTACTAAGTAACAAGAACAAGTTGAACTAATGCCTTTGTGTCATTTTTTTTAAGTTAACATTAAGACATGAACAGTACTTTCCCAGCTTTGCTGGTGGCAGCGTAGTGAAAACAACTTTAAATTAGAGGTGGGGAAACACAACACACGCCCACACGTGTAGACAACAACATAATATTGGCAAGCTATTCCCCTGCTTCTTTGGTACTTCCTAAACTTTCTTATCCAAAATATATAAGGGAAATGCACCATTTAAAAGTTATTGTTTGTAAGTATTTACAAAGCCATAACCATTATGCTATGATACACAAAGTTCAATATGATATGAACAAAGTTATTTTATGAAAAGCACTTCTGCACATTTTGTTCCAGTATCTTAACCGCTTTAAAAAAAATCATGTGTTAATGCAGTCCTGTACCTCGCTTCTTCTTATATCAAATGGACAAGAAACACTTCCTAATCCATACTCTTCTTCAAAAGATTAAAAAATTGCCACCAAAATGATACACTATTTACAAATTTTACTAAATATTAAATTCTAGGCAATTATTTTCACCCCACTGATAATATAACTTAGGCATTGTTACCTACTATATGCATATATATTTCTTTAATATATAAGAAATGGCACCACATCACCATGTCACCAATATGACACATTGTTATGTACAGTAGATAAGAAGTTAGCTATGGAAGATGAATCCTTGCGAACCGTTCCTTTCCCGGGAATGCTTCTGCCCCCGCAGTAGCTCAGCCCTCTCCCCTTTTCCCGGAGAAGGGGGCTCCTCACACGAAGGGCAGGACCCCGTACATGAGCAGCGCCATCACGCCCGCGCTGAACAGGCCCGCGACCGGCACAGTCACGAACCAGGCCAGGAAGATGTTGCGGAAGAGGCGCCAGTCGACGGCCTTCTTGGATCGTATCCAGCCGACGGCCACCACGGATCCCACCTTGGTGGCGTGGGGAGAAAGAGCACGTGTGAGACGCCCGGCCCGCCACGCTGCGCCTCCCGCGCCACACCAATGCCAGCCAGCTGATACCAGCAGTGCTGCCAGAAACCAGAGCCCACACGATGCGGCCCCGGCTGCCGGCAGGCAGGGGGGCAGGAGATGAGCGCTCCCAGGTGGCTTTCCTCTCTATGTTTTGTGACAGATTCCATGTTGACACATCCTACGTGGCATGCAAACCACCAACACGCCCTGGGCAGGCCTCGCTAGGAGAGCAGTTGGGTGGCTCCACGTCCTCGCTCCAGCAGGCTGCAGTTCTACCTGTGCACGAGGCTGAGGAGGGGCCTGCCCAGGGCGTCTTGGTGGTTAATGGGGTCAGGGTGCCTGAGGACTCGCTTTTCGAGCAGCTATTGCCACTGCCGGCCACATACAAAACACGGCGGCAATGGCAAGGCTACGACCTAACTGCCTTTTCCAGGTGGACGAAGGAGGAATTTTCCAATGGTTTCTCACTTACTGACCTCAGATGTAAAGCCAGCACATGAGTTTTTTAAGACAGAAATGGTTGAGAAAAGCTTTTGCAGGAAAAAAAAAAGGCCAAAAAAAAAAGGGGGGGAAAAATTGAAAATACTGCACTCTCTTTTTACTCTGGAAGTGTCATCTGTGCCACTAGCAAAGAAAAAAAAAAAAAAACAGACAAAAAAGCCACACGCTCACAAAACTCTGCATAAATGATTG